CCTGAAAAGTTAGGTCGAGGAGTGGTGATCCTTCTTTAATATCTTGCTATATTTCTCTGTACATGGTAAAGTGGAAATCTATACCCATTAGATATCCTTATGGTTTGTCTAGTAGTATAATGATGCATCGATTGATATTACTTGGGGGAAGAACAGTTTTTGTTTAATGTGGACAGTAGTGGATAGTCTAAGCCTTTATTAAGGTATATGAAGATAAAAATTAGCTCTTTTATGATGTATAGTAGATAGTGGATTATATTCCTTATCACTGTCATGTTATGGGTTGTAGAAACATTGATTGTGATAAAAAGATTTTGAATTGTAAACGTAGTAAAGGTTTATCGAGCACTTTTTAAAAAAGTTCTTAATTGAATGTTAGATAATTGATGAAACTCGTGGCTTAATCAAAATCAGTTTAATATTATTCGTAATTCAGATTAACTGCATGTCACTAAGTCAATGATTAAAAAAATAATTTAATAACGAAGAAGTAACCGATTATTGAAACAATGATGTCAAAAGTATAAATAAAGTTGTTTGAAATCAATAAAAGATATGCTGTTAGTTAATTACGCTGATTATAAATTATATTTAAACAGATTGAGAAGCAATATATTCTTGATAAGTTACACATCTTTCACTTTATATCAAGGAATTTTATAAAGGGATGATGTTATGAACATGACCTACAAACTTCTAGAAGGAAGCAAACTTGTCTGAAAGTACAAACACAGACCAAATTTACTATTTATAGATAGTAATAAACAAGCTCCAAATGAATTTTGAATACGATTTCAACTTAACTGTATTCATATAAAAAGATAACTGATGTATATAGAGAGAGTACAACTTGAGAACAAGGTCGAAGGTAAAAGAAATAGAAAGAAAATAAGAAGCCACATTTAGAATTTAATTCAGTATTGGATACAATACTTGGTATATTAAAAATTAAGCATGTCGATATCATATTATGAATAGCCCCATTGATGCACGTTCAGTATTATATGAAGCTGGAATAATAATTAATGCATGTTGAATGACTTGATGCATGAAATATTGTTTAAAATTAAATTATCATCACTAATAAAACATACTAATAGTTCCCTTAAAATAATTCTCATTTCCGTTTACAATGATGTTCATTCATCAAGCTAAATTACATTAAAAATCATTCACCTTTCATACATTTATTCCACCATTAATTTCCTACATTATCTTAGATTTCAAACAATTCTAACAATTCATCTTTTAATTTAGTTCAACTACTCATTATGAGCATGTAAACTAACATATAAGATTGTATCAACTACATTAATCATTTCATATAAATACTATTATACAATATTAAAAAATAAAATATAAAAAAGAAAAAAAATTTTTTTTCTAGTTAAAATATTTTTCTCAGTCTTTTTTCGTTTTTTTATTTCCTGAATTACTTTTCAACAATCTATAAAAAACTTTTTTTTCTTTTTCAAGTTCGTTTAATTTAGACGTTTTCTATTGGTTAATTTATTCCACAATTGAATATTATCAATTTATGAAAGAAAAATTGTAGAAAAAAAAAATAAAGAAAGGATATTTTGTTAATTAAGCGTAAAATGAATAAATCTTCAATAATTATAGTAGAACAAAATAAATTTTTGTTTTGGTTAATAAAATAAAAAAAAACAAAAAAATTGCATAAAACTTTGATTTTTGAAGAATAAATTTTCTATTTTTTTTGAAAAATTAATTTTTCATTTTGTTAAATTACAAATAAAAAAGCAAAAAAACCGAATCAAATTATATCCGGTCAAAGATTTAAAAGATTCTTATTCAATGTACATAGTTGAATAGACTGTTAGATGTGTTTAGGTGCTGAAGCGTTTTCCTTCTATTAGAGAATAAGCACATTTTCTGAATTAAGGAAATGTTATTTTGAAAAATTTTGAAAATTGATTAATGACGTCTATCGAAAAACTATGTCGACTAATCACCTTTATGTTTCAGATTTTATTTAGTTTTGATTATTTAAAATTATGAAGACAGTAATACTGTAGTGAAAGAGAACATAAATGGGGACAATCGGATGTATTTGATCATAAAACTACAAAACGTCTTAGTAAAATCTGACAACCAATGAGTAAATACTTCATTTGCAATATCTTAATCAATTGTCTCAAACTTGACTATTTTTGTAAATATCATTCAATCGTCTCACAATTCACTGTTCCTTCATTTCCATAGTAACCATTCACTGTTCTCATTTTCTTTTCTCTAATTTTCTTAACCTTCTGACTTCAGACATTTCACTTTCGATTGCTGATATATACCACTTATATCTGTCGATGTCGGTAGCACACTTTACAATACTACATGGTTTTTTTTAACATACCTTGTCAATTTAAAAGTTTATATTGTGTTTAAGAACATCTGAAATGTGAATCACTGAGAAATACGTTATCAGGATATGCGAAATATTAGGATAGATAATTAGTCCAAATTAATTGGTTTTGAAATATTTTATATTACGGACTAATTTTAATCATGCAACTATCAAAACCATTTAGGATTCCACAGTTATATTATTCGAGTATAATATTTCCCAGTTGCATGCCCATAAAACTCTACAAGGTTTCCAACTTTCAGTCTTTACGGAAAGCATTTCGTTTACTAACTATTGGCTTGATGTCTGATAATTTACATTGTTAACTTGTGTACTTAGTAATATTAGCTGTTGACAGCAATGATGTTGAGTTATTACTAACATGTGATACTCTACATAGTTTTATTACCTTTAATGTAATAACTGTTCTAAAACACTTAAAATATGATTCAGTGGTTATTGGTAAAGTAATATAAAATATATATGTTTTTAATCGCTCAAGCATAAATATATTCATATGCTTCACTCAACAGTCAGACAGAAGATAATTTAATTTAACGCATAATACGTTCATAATCCATTCAACAGTATCAGAATCAATCATTGATGAAAAGCATTATTTCTGTATCATTGTTTTTATTATTTATAAACAAGTAGTTTGTTTAAGTATTTCATGAATTCTATGATATGGTGTTTTTAAAGTTGTCACAAGTAATTTGTCAGATCGCTCTTAAAGATAATCAACGATATACGTCAGATAATACATATATGTACATTTCAATTGTGGCTCAAATATGGAAATGTAGATTTAACTGTATGAATCATAACGAAAACATCTCATGGTTGTTTTTTATACAACAACTTGTAAAACAGCTAAGAATAATTGTCATACGTGTTCTGAAGTGAATTGTTGACCTTGATTTGTCAGAGCAGAATTCCTACTGATGAAAGTTAACTAATACTCAAAATAGCTGTCACCCAACACCAAAGTCGTAATTTTAATTACAAACGTCAAGACTGATCCGTTGTACAGAGCTGAACCTTGCTGAATTACTACAATAACCGAAAAGTTAAAGGTATTCACAAACAACTGTTTACGCAAAATACTTCGAATGTGTTTATCAGACACTATCAGCAACAGCCTACTTAAGAGAGAACAAACCAGCTTTCATATGAAGAGGAACTTAGGAAGAGACATTGAATCTGTATAGGACACACATTATAGAAGACATCAAATAGCATCACAAAGCAAGCTCTAATTTGGAATCCTCAGGGGAAAATATAGGAAGACAGATGAAAGAACACATTGAACCGGTTATCGGAGACATAGATGGAAAGGATGAATAGCATTTAGTAAGTGCTTGAAAAGAGTGCCCAGTAGAGTATTGATTTGAGAAACTTTGTCTGCAGCTTCTGCTACACTTGATATGACATTCGTAAATAAGTTAGCAGTTAAGTAATGAAAGGTGATAAATCAAAAATCAACAGATATAATTTAAAATTCATAAAACATTTCATATCTGTTTTCTACAACACTATAGCGTAGTTAATAAATACTGGCTACAACGGCAAGTTTTCAAAAGTATGCTACAACACTGAATGCAAATTTATATGCATTTACTTGGCACATTCTCACGGTACAAATCATTTAGAATTAATGAATCACCTTGGCATTCACTTTCAAAGTAAATCGTTTTAAATGTTTCATGCTTTCAGTAAATCTGTCAAAGTATGTTCTTTTTCAAAAAAATGGCTTAGAAATGTTTAAATAACTAAATCATCAGTTGACAAATTCTAATCATCAGTTATTAGAACCACAATATTTCAATCTGCTTTCCGCTTTTTTTCAATTCCCTTCTATCTAATAATTAGGACTTTTTCAGCTGTGGGAATAAATGTCTCGCAACAACGATCCAGTTGTATTTTCGTATTAATATAAAGGTATATGGACTTACATTAATTCAAATGATAAACTGAAATAGCGATTAAAACACTTTTTCGACAATGGAACCCCCTCTATACATGTTCACATCTCAAAATATTATAATTTAGGCTATTTTTTTTTAGTACAAAGCTCATAAAGATGGGAAGATATATAGAATTATTGAATTGTTTAACTATGTGTTCACCTGAGATCAAATTAATCAACAACATCAAATCTTGAAGTTGTATATACTGTGGTTATAATTAACAATTGTACACGTATTTATGGAAATAAAAGACGTTCATTGGTGTTTCTGATATTAACTCAATAGAAAGATGTGCTACGTTATTTGTTAATTTTCCAAACACATTCGTTTTGGGATTCAATCAGTATAGCACACTTTAAACGGTTAAAAATAGAGCTTAAATGACAGTTCTTTTTTTATGCAATTCATAAAAGTTAAAATAATAACTCATATAGATAACAGATTTGCTTTCATGTTTAAATAAGAGAAATAATGATAATATTCATCTTCTTTATAACATAAAGAGTTTTTCACATAGTAATAGGAACCTTTAAACTCATAAATAATCGAAAATTCAAAAGAAATAAAGAATTTTAAGAACAGAATTTGTACAATATGTATCCATAGACAATAAACCATCATGTATTTTGATTTAAATCATCATATCATATTGTTATATGATATTTTTATGAATTGATTGAGATAGCATTTGTCTCATTGTCTAAAAGGTGACTTATTCTAGCTATTTGATTAGGTTTTGATGCTTTACAACAAATTAAACGATCACGATATTGTATACATTCTTCTCGAGCAATTTTACGAAATAAAGGATTAGATGCCATATAAATGAATGCATTCAATGTAGAATCTAAATAAATTAATAGATTTGCAATAACTGATAATGTTAAATCAATTAATGGATAATCTTGTTCCAAGTAAGGATTTAATATTTTACTGAAAAATGCTGGAGTTTCTAAAATAAAAAATGTTATACAAACAGCAAACATTAATTTATCACCAGATGGAGCTGGTCTTTCAATTAGTTCTTTTGTTAAACCATTTGAATTACGTTTTAAAGGATTATTATTATTATTATTCATAATGATACTATTTTTTAAATTTGATTGATTATTTTCTATTTCCATTGTTTGACGTCTTAATAAATTTCTAGCTGAACGTTGTTCTTTTTCTCGATGAAATTTTCGACGTTTAGCTATAATTCTTATAACAAATGCACTTAATACACATACACATATAACTGGACCACCAGATTGTACAATAAACATAACTAAACCTAAATATAAAATTTGATATAATTTATAATTAATTAATAAAGGATAATCTTTTGATACATTTCCTGATATATAACATACAACTATACCACTTTCAAATATTCTTGGTATAACAATTAAACAAGCTAAAAAAAATATAATTATTAATATATAACGAATACGTTCACGTGGAAATGCACTAGGTGAACCAATAGGTCGACATATTTGATCATAACGATATGCTGCTAATAATACAACAGACCAATTACGTGATATTTGAAATACTACTAAAAATCTACTAGATATTGTCATAATAAAAAATGAGAATATTGTTTTAATATAAGCATTTGTTTGAATAGTATCTTGTTCATTATGATATGGATAGATATTATTAGTTATATTTTGATGTAAATGTGATGTAGTAGTAGAATTTTGTGAAAAAATTAATGCATGAATAAATAAACTTAATCCCATACCAAGTTCTATAATAGATAATCCTTTTAATATTCTACTCATTATAGATTTTTTCCATGAACTATGATTAAATATATGAACACATAAACCATTTAATATAGTATTTAATGGACCTAATAATAAACCTATAGCACGATAAAAACTAAATAAACCGGATACTGGTAATGATTCCATTTGGGTACATGTTGAACTTTTATTGATTATAAATAAATTTAAAATAAATGGTTTTAATACATCTTCGTTATATTCAGTAATATTCATTATAATTTGATAGAATTGACAAAATGGTATAATAAATCGTTCAATTTGAATATGAATATGGTATGTAACGGTATGGTTGTGTTTTTGAATTGTTATTCAGTTTCATATTTCCATAATACACTTGTTAGATAAATCCAGTATCTGAAATTAAATAAAATAAAAGTTTAACATAATTTTTTTTATTATTACAAGAAGATGTAGTGTCAGTTGCTATATTAAGCCCACATAGTTTATTCTAACTTGCTAACAGGGTAATATACTCATTCTTCTTGAATCACATTTAATTATTCACTTATCAAATCTGACTGTTTATTATATGAGCGTATGTGTGTGCACTTCTTATCCTACTCATCACATGTCTGTGACTTGTTTTTGTTCTGATTATAAATATCGATCAATGCTTGGTTAGACGGAGTTGGCTCATATACCTTCTCCACTGAGCGTCATTTATGCTTCTTGCCTTTGATTGTCTATCCAGATCAATGAGTGTACAAAATATACGTATTCAAAATCCATTCTCGTATTAGACTTATTTAGTTCCATTATCCACTAATGCGATTTAAGTCGATAGCTTTATACAATGATTGGAGACATGTATATCTCATTAACAATCAGTCACACGATCTAACTGGAGTCAGATAAAGGACCACCAAAATGATTTTTTTTAAGTAAGAAAATAAAAAGAACTGTTGAATCGAAATATCATTCATAAAAGTATTCAAAGTGAATTTAATCACATATCATTATTATTTACCTCAAATATCTGATTTCTAATTCAGAATACTGAAGGTTCCTCATTGAAGTCAATTCTAAGTTTATGTGTAAAAAAAAAAATTGAACAACCCCACTGTAGAGCATTCAATGCCAACTACTTGAGTTACATTCTAACGATGAATATTTCTTATTCAATAAAGCTTATTTTGTATGATAACGTATTATTTATTTATTTATATGTCGTATCCACCTTACCACAATAGGTTGATGTATTTTTGGGTTCTGTTTATTCAATATGAAACTTTATGCGTACATTTCTATGAAGTATAAAAACTCAGTAGAATATCTTTTTAATTTTATACAATCATCATCGGACGTTTTGCTAAACTTCATTTGCAACAGTCATAAAATGTCTATTGTGTTAATCGATAGAGTTAATCAATAAAAAATGTTAGTTATATTGATAAGTAAAGCCAATTTTCTTAATAAATCTGACTTGCTTAAACAAAGATACTCAATGAAATTTTGAGAAGAAGAATTACTTTAGTTAAAAATTCGAATATGTTGTATCATTCATTTATACAATGAGAGATTTACTTTAGTTACTCGTCATATATGTTTAAAAAAAAGCTTTTTACAAAATCGAACAGTTAATTAAAGTGTACGGTATCAGATTGGCTTCTTTGTTATGCGACGAATAGATGTGCAACTAATCTATTGGGTAATAGTATTGTAAGATCCAAACCTAGATTCCAATAGGTCTGGATGCGGCCGGATAACCGTTGGATAGTTTAGACACTCGTGTTTCGGTTTAAATCAAAACAAGGTATATATTTGACACGGTTCTGTAATTCATCATATATACAAATGCACAAATTTACCTAAACGAATATTATCACCCGGTTATTCAACCAACAGTTGATACAAAAATATCCAATCTAAATTACAATAAATAGCAAGGTGATAAGAAATATATGAAAAATTACCAAAAAACACCAAAGAATAAGCGTTATTCTATCCTTTCTGGATAGATCAAGGGAGATTCCGTTTGAGCGGTTATTTTATAACACCAAGTGTTTCAATTTCTGGGAAAGTGCTCCAAATTACAACCAAAATGCACGATCCCAGTCAAAATCAACCGCACAATCAAATAGCGAGCAGCCAATATGGCAGATGCCAGAATAATAGCAATTAAAACAAACTAGATACAGCTCAGTAAGGAACATAGAGACTCAATAAAAAAACGATAGTAAAACCAAGAAAATTGAACGTCACAGACTTAATTAGCATAAAAATGTTAACATGTACAAATAAAGAAAACGTAAGGAAGAAATCACAAGTGTATGCATGGAGGGATTTTCACTTGCAAAATGGATCCAACAAGTATCACTGTAATGTTCAAATGTCAACTTTAATAACAAAAGTTAATTCAATATTTTGAATTGAATTCAATAAAATCATCCTATTTTACTTTTAATCAGGTTAACATAGTTGAAGTTTAAGTCAAAACACTTTAAAGTATGATCATTTAAGAGTTAAAATAATAGATATAGATTCACATAGTAAATGGCATGAATCATTTGAAAAGCATCAATGATATAATTTGATTAAGCTAATGACTTTATATATTTGGTTTAATACATTAATTTTCATGACATTTCTTATGGATGACTGATTTGAAAACATCAAAACTTTGGTTATATTAACTTAACAGTTTAATAAGAATTATATTGGATAGGAATTAAAATCAATCATTCATAGAGAAGTTGTTTGTGATGAGATTATCAATCTTAAGTTTATCAATATAAAATATAAAAAGAAACATTTTAAAAAAGAGAAAAACAATTCATCCAAGTATTCATTTTAATTTGTAGTGACACGTAGGCATAAATGTAACCCCCCCCCCAAAAAAAACTCAGGGTAAATGAATATCAAAAAAGCGTAAACAAACATCGTTTATATTCACTTGTTGTTGTTTACCTGTATCTTGCCATTGTTATTCAATCTTTGCTTATAAAGTTTGTGACTTCAGGCACATATGCACATATGCCAACAAGAGACTGATCAATTGCAGTCAAAAATAATAATAGGAAGATACAAGTAACAAGTGATTATAACTCCACCTCATTGCACAAGCAAGTGGCTATCAGGAATCAGTGGCTAAATGGATAACGCGATGGCGTTTAAAGCGAAAGGTACTGGGTTCGAGTCTCAGAGTGAATGTCAACTCTGAGATGCAGGTACATCCAGCTGACGAGTCTCATATAGGACAAAACGCGCGTCAAACTGGATCCCACTACTAACTACTATTTATCTTCGCTTATAAAACATCGTGTAAGTTAGATCAAGCGAATAATATTAATTGGTTAAATAAGTAAAAAATATTCAAGTACTCACATATATAATATATTACAAATTAGAAAGAACAGTTAGTGACAACGTCAAATATTTAATAATAGGAACATTTAATAAATACATTACAGTTCCTTATGAAACTTTAAATCAAGTTTGAACTAACTGAATAGTATAACCTAGAAAAATAATTCGCGGATTCGTTGAAGTTAGACATTAACATCGTTTGATTCCGGTCAGCTCAGTGGTCTAGAGATTAAGCGTTTGGGCTCGAATCCTGCGTTCAGGATTGCAGATGTGCACTGCTGAGGGGTCCCGTACTAGGACAAAAAGATTGTCCAGTGCTTCCAGGTTTTCCATGGTGGTCTAGTTTCAATTGACTCATGAATTCAACTATTACAATAATATTTGTTAAAGCTGATATACGATATTTCAATTAAATATCAATCGGTTAATAGAAATATATCATCTAGTATTCTTTTATTGAATACTGTTTAATTCATACGTATCAGCTGTTCTAGGAATAATATGTAAACAAGCTTAGAGTTGAATTAAGACATGAATAATATTTAAGCTGAGTCGATGATACAGCTTTAGAGTTACAACTTATGTAATCAGTTTCTATTATTTGTAAATCCGCTTTCCTATAACAAGATTTCTGCTTGGTTAATCTCTGAAAGTCAGTAACTACTTAGTATTTGACTGAGATATTTGCTTTCTTTATTCACTAGCCAATTCTAAAAAATCTTGGAAGTACTTTATGATAATAATAGCACAGAGAATCAGACCTCTCATTTGTATTAAAATGAAGTTTAACAAACAAAGAATATAATTTCTAATATTTTAGCTTCACAACGTTTAATACACGAGACTCTACATAACAGAGTTAGACGTTATCAATTTTTAAATATGAAAAATTCCCATAATGTGATTTAGAACAACACATATAGGCTAATAATATTGTTTTCGGTTAGATCCTCATCAGGCTTTACTCTAATATACAGTAATATATTGGGCGCACTACCAGACAGCTGAACTAGAGTTAGTGAACACCTCCCTTCATGGTTAGGAAAAGGTATGGTCAAGTAGATGCGGAGCTCGATTCTTTCACACTTGATCGATAGCGGTCATGAAGTGGACAGAAATCAGTCTTTTAAAGTTATTTATCGTATTCCTACTACTTTTCCTTATGGGGTTCGATATCGTCTCTTACACATAGCAGAAGCTATAGGAATTCGATCCAACAACCCAAGTCTTTGTGTTCATAAGAAATTTGTAACACCCTTATCTCTCCCTTGTCCTTAATAAATAATTTTATTTTCCATACTCTTTCTTCGTTTATTTTTCTTCCCCCCCCTAACAATTATTTATTTATTTACAATATGACCACTATCAATTAGATGTGCCAAGATAGAACTGCGTATTGTTTTTATTTGGCCCTTTCCAAGCATGGTTTGGAAAGGGCCAAATAAAAACAATACGCAGTTCTATCTTGGCACATCTAATTGATAGTGGTCATATTGTCGATAAATTGAAATCATTTCAAGTGATCTATCGTATTTATTTATTTCTTAAATATTCGTTTCACGGGCCAATTATCTGAACGAAGTGTTCAGACGTAATCTTATAATTTCAATGAATGTTATTTCAGTGCCTATATTTTTCCAATCATTGACCTATTTTCCTATTATATAGGCCTTTTATTATTCTTATCACAACTAGTACACCTGTCATTACACTATCAATTTGTACTTTTCACTTATTAATTTTAATTATGTAATCTATTCCACTGTTATCATTGACTCATAAAGTGCCTTGATTGGTTTAATAATTTCGTGTATGCATATAAATATTACTGTATATTAAAGCCTGATGAGGATCTAATCGAAAACAATATTGTTCGCTTATATTTGTTGTTCTAAATTTTTAAATAG